TTTTTCTTTTTGCTTATGTGGTGCTGAGGAATCGAACCCAGGGCCTCATGCATGCAAGGCAAGCGCTCTACCACTGAGCCACCTTCCCAGCCCCATATTTAGAATATTCTTATGTGTATTCTTTTAAAATTATAATTCTATAGAATGTCTAGATGAATTACTATTAAAAGAAAGAAATAATGCTTTTGTTTGTGATTCATGGTGCTAGTTTACTATTCTGGGAATTCATTGAACCCCTCATTTGATGACTAATATCACTTGTAAGTACATGCCTTGTCATCTTATTGAGATGCCAGATTGTAATTGAAAATTGATTGATCACCTTGCTGGATCAGTTGATCCCTTCAAAATATATAAAGCTAATACATTTTGGGTGAATATTTTGATGCTTGGCCTTTTAGGAGATTACATTGATTAAAAGCAAATAACCAGGCTTTTTATTTTTTGAATTATGATTTGGAATCATTGAGGGTGAAAGAAATGTTAAATTTGAAGCCTGAATTTGAACCTTAAGATATAAAAATATAAAGAACTTCCATTTTTCTGTGAACATGAACATTTGGGACCATTGAAAACCTCAGCACGTGTTGCAAGATCCATCATAAGTTACTGGTGTAGTTTACAAAGGAAACTATAGCTTCTAAAGTTGACACATTGTGTATGAAAGGAAAGGGATGCCTTGTTCTGCTGGAAAGAAATGGATCCACAGAAAGATGACAGAATCGTTGGAACAGCCTAGAAAGCAGAGGGGATACTCTAATCACACTGCTCCATCAGGATAGCTATAGGCTCTTCTTTAGCTTTAGCATCTCTTGTCAGGCAAGAGGATTAGACTTGTGGCCTCCCTCCCTCACCTCCTGGAATGCATCTTGGTGACTAGAGCATTTGTTTTTTTCAATTGCCATCCATTCACATGTGTCCATTAAATTAGTAAACTATACCTGACCCCTTTGGACTTTAAGTAGCATACCTTATGACTTTAAGTAGCATACTTAGACATTCCTATGTGTATTTTTTTTTAATTATACTGTACTGTTAACCTGTGCATTCTCACTTCACTTCTTTTTCTTTTTTTTTTTTCTTTTTGAGCACAGGGCCTCGTACTAACTCATCTTGCTTACTTACTTGCTGGTGCTCTACCACCTAAGCCATGCCTTTAGCTGGCATTTTGCTGGGGGGTTTTGATTATGTAATCTTGTGGCTGGCTTTGAACTGTGATCCTCTAGGTTCTAGCCTCCTAAGTAGCTAGGCTTGCAGAGGTATACTGCCTGTGTCCAGCTTTAATTGACAGATTTCAGAGTGTCACTGTCTTTTAAAAAAGTCTCAACCTGGGCTAGGAAGGTGGCTCAGTGGTAGAGCACTTGCCTTGTATGCATGAGGCCCTGGGTTTGATTCCTTAGCACCACATAAGCAAAAAGAAAAAAGCCGGAAGTGGCGCTGTGGCTCAAGTGGTAGAGCGCTAGCTTTGAGCTGAAGAGCTGAGGGACAGCGCCCAGGCCCAGAGTTCAGGCCCCACTACTGGACCCAAAAAAAAAAAAATCTCAACCTCATATTCTCATCTATGATGAGATATTTTTTTTCTTTAGTCTTTCCTGTTTTTGTTAGCTCTGTATTATCCTTCTTCAAAAGGAATTCTTTTAGAACTAAAAGCATAATTATGTCTTGAATTTGCCAGTTTTCTTTGAATGTGATGACTGCCAAATTGAACCAAGAACTTTTCATTAGAAACACACTGAGAGAGAAACAGGACTTTATTTTACTTTGTTCATTCATTTTTTGAGACAGGATCTTGCTGTACTGCCCAGGCTATCCTCAGACTTACTCTATAGCCCAGACTGACCTCCAATTTGTTATCCTTGTATGAATTCCTTGTTTTCCAGTCTGTGAATTCTGGAATTACAGATGTACACCACCACACAGAGACAAGAGTTTTTTAAAACATCGATGAACAAACAGCTCTGACTTTAGTTTTCCTCTCTTAGTAAGAATAACTGAAACAAATGAAAATTAGCTGTAATAATACCTTATATTTGTATAACTTTCATTATTCTCCCAAGAAATACATTTTTAACTCATTCATCATTGCATTGGTGGTTCTCTTTATATCATCAGATTTGTGAGTTCCTCAGCCTCATTGATCTATATAGATTCCTTTGACAAAGGGCAGGACCATCAAGGTTTCCTAGGTGATTCTGATATTTGGGCTGAGATAGAACCATTATACCAGAATCTAACTTTCCTTTAAATCTATGTGCTATAAAAGAAGAAAAAAAAACTATAAACAAATCATTCTACATGTCGATTATAGATATTTCTTTTCTCACTAATATTTCAGAAGAAATTCTGTTTGGCAGAACTTAATAAAGCTGAGCATATGCTGTCTAATGATCCAGCAGTTGCATTTTTAAGTGCAGAGTCAAGAAAAATGCGTACACTACATATGCCCATCCAGATCTAAAGAAGGTGGAACTAGCAGTCAGTGCCTTAATTCACAACCGCAAACAAGAAACAACACAAATGTTCATCAGTAGTAGAAGGGACAGATGAATTGTGATGGAGAATTGCCCATTAATTATAAAAGATGATCAGCACATGCATACAACAGCATTTTTGTATTTCACAGTCTTAATGTTTAGTCAGAGAAACCGGACACTAGTGTGCAATTGTGTCATGGTTTTTTTGATGGTCAAGGAAAGATAAAACTAAGCTGTGATAAATAATAGATGTCAAATAATAGCCTCATCTGGGTGGGGCACATGGAAGTCTTCTGTATTGCTGAAAATATCATCTTGATATTTTCCTAGATATGTTCATATATAAAAAGCATTGAACTGTACATATGAGGTTTGCGTACCTTGTTCTATATAACTTGTACATCATTAATATGCATTTACAACCTATACATGTTTATATATCTTTGATTGACCTTGAGCAAAGCTTGTCTATTATAGCAACCCTTTTCATTAGTCTCTTGTATGCTACACAATTTCCTGGGTTGGTGTCCTGTGCTAAGATCTTTATGTCAATGAATTGTGGGTTAGTACTCTGGCTGGATATTTGTCTACAGTTACAGAAAAGGTCGATAAAAAGGATTGTGTATTAGTCAGCTGTCTATGACCACATTCTTTTGTTAATTAAGAATGTCAGCTGCTAAGAGTATTGCTAAAGGTGATGCTTTCTTATGCATCCAGTATCATATTTTAAAAATACTCATATTTTATGAAACATTGTAATCACAATTGTTTGGGGGATTATGTCTAGACATAGCTGTTAAATAACTTCTTGAGTTCAGTTTTATTTAGGTCACAGAGTAACAGAAAACTATGCCACACTTGTTACATGCAACGGCTGAAGTTATTAAGGAATAATAATAATATCTATTAAGATATATTCTCCTGAACAGTAGTTGTCTTAACTGCTAAAGTCCCTTTAACTTCTCATATGTTATTATGCCCAGATAATATCACTAAGGAAAATAATTAATATTCTTCATTTTCCTTAAGCAAATTAAACCTTAACTAATTAAGAGTACTTACTTTGAGTACTTACCAATGATGAAATTATTGTGCTCTGTGTATAGTATTTTGGAGCATGGTATCATATGCTTTAAATATTTCTTTATGTTATTAGAAAAGCATTCATCAGTAGAACTCTACTGATCAAACCAAATTTCTGCCATTTACCAACTTTTTTTCCTTTACTAGAAAAAAATTAGCAAGGTTTTAATGTGAAGGTTTATGGCAGGAAACATTAGATGAATATTTTAAAAATGGATACCTGCCAAAGGCACAGGAAAAGAAAAAAAACAAAATTGGCCTTTGGGGCATTTTATGTTAGTGATATTCAGATTCATATCCACTTTTTTAATAGTAATATATGGAATAATAGGTGGGTTAAAGATTCTCCATAAATGCCAGTTGGTGGTTTTATTTAGGTTTCTGTTTGATTTATAATTAAACAGACTTTTCCCTAGTCTCTGTTGGTACTTGTGGTCATTAGCGTATTTGGATAAAAACCCAGATATATATCAATCTTCACTAGATTGCAGGAGACTATTTATCACTCTTCTTATAGGTGCCTTTGTTTCTGGTCATCTTCCCCATCCTTCAGCCTAATCAACGTTTTCAATGTTCTAGGAACCTTCTCTCTTACCAGTTAAACCTCTACATAGTTAAGCATCCTGGACTCTGGTTATAGAATGCACCTTTCCAGTCTTTTAGTTTCTTCCTTCTGTAGTTATTTTGATTCACTCACCCCATTCTGAGTATTTCCTTGGGCATGCTTTTTCCTAAATTTTTTATCCGATTATCTTCTAACATGCCCTTCTTCCCTGCTCTATTAAATCCTTCTTCTGAATGTTGTCTTGGAAGTTTTCTTCTAAATTCTGTTCCCCAGTTGTGGGGGCCTCGTTCTGTCACTTGCTGCTTTATATTGCTATTCAAGGTGTTGCCCCCTGCCACTTCTGCCTCTCTTCT